GGCCCTAGAGGGGAGGAGCTGCCACAGCGGCGGCGCATGGAGACTAGGAGAGGAACTGTCCTAGCGCCAGCGCATGGAGGTAAGATGAATTAGCAAGCAAGCTGCGAGGCTATGAAGGTGGATTTAGCTACTTGAGCACTAATAAACTTCCCACTTGCCGTCTCCTCTCTTCGAGTAGATTAGGGATGTTGCATTGGGATGTTGAAATTTATGATTCTAATGTTGCGGTTTGTTGTTGGACATTGTAGGTATTTTTGTTGGGATTTATTTTTTCCCTATGCTACAACCATTCATTTAGAATATTAAAACTGTTGATCTTTGATGTTGCGATGTTCTTTTGTAATAGATTATGCTAGAATTAGTTTTATTTTTTCTTTTTTTTAAACGAACCAGGTAGAAGAGCTGCCGATTATATTAATAAAGAAGATCAAGTTCAGACCGGACGAAAACATGAAAAATGAAAAAAAAAAGACGCTGGCACCGATAGGTTGGATTGGGTCCTCAACGCATGCTGCACCACGCCCTCACACGCAACTCAACTCTATAACACAGGTTGGATTGGGACATCAACCGTCGCCGAACTCCACTCCTCACAACACCTCGGCGACAGAACCGAAGCCTTAACGCAGCCTGTACCACCATACACACGGTCAAGAAGTCGCCGAAACCTTACAGCGAAACCTAGCGTCGACGTAGAACCGAGAAGCAGACATCACCGCACCGAGAAGGCCACCGCCATGCAGGACCTTCCGTCATAGTGCCGCTGTAACATCACTCTCCACCTGACAGGGTGATAGCGCCGATTCCGGACCTCTCGCAGGTTGCCTCGCAGTCGCCGCCACGATAACACAACGCGCGGGGGCCTCGCCACGTCCGCCGTTGGACTCGTCTCTCTCATCGCCTCGAAGGTACGCCGCGTGCGGGGGCCTCGCCACGCCCGCCGTAGTACTCCACGTCACGGATCCGTTTCTTTTGTCGCTGTCAGAATGTTGAGTGATATTGCCCTGCTCCCCAAGATCTCCATTGATTAGCCAAGCCGCAGTGTGTCGACCTCGCCTCGTTGCTTCACCCTCGTACATAGCTTTCTCCGCCGTGCCAGCAAGCCAGAGAAGTCGCTTTGTGCCATCTTCCGATGATGTACCGCATCGGATAGCCCAGCTAGGCTGAGCAACCCGCCGCGATCCGCTGCAAGCCGAGTCGTCCTCTGACGCAGTCCCACACTGCACTGATCGCTGCCAGGCAACGTCAGCCGCCGCGGTCCGCTGCAAGCAGCCAAATCCGACAACCATGCAACAACCCCTGCCCACCACCGTAACTTCAAACACCTGCACATGGGCTCGGCAACACCCATTCAGCTCACCACGCGGTGGAGTTGCCACCCTCGGCTATGACCTCCCGTGACAATCAGAGGCAGATCCACTTGTATTCAATGGTATTCAGTTGAATACCCATTGTTTTGGCAAAACAAATTCATATATATATATAGTGTATTCTAGGTATATGTATGAAAAAATAAAAATGAAGATTGAAGAAGCCAGGCACAGGCGCAGCACGCAGCCACTCGGCCTCCCCGGCTCGCCACTCACCAGCGGCCCACTCGGCCTCCCAGGCTCCCACTCGCACGGCACAGGCACAGCACGCAGCCATCTGCGCAGCCACGCACACGCCACCATGGATGAAAGCGGTTGGGAATGGTCAGGAAAATGTCTTAACCATTCCCGCTATGAATCAGGTATTACGGGATATTGGGAACGGAATATTTCGAACGGGAACGTGTCGATTATGATCGAGAAGTGGTAACACAAAACGAAAACATCGATATATGTAACCACTTGAAACAGTGAGCTCGATGCAACAATAGCGACCATGTATAATCCATATGCAAACAATAGCAAACAGTGAGCATAGAAATAAAAATTTGCACGGATGACAGATGATCATTGCAAATTAGGCAATTAGCAATTAAAAAAATTAGAAATCGTATCATATAGTTTATACTTACTTTGCGGCTGCTTGCACCTTGCACAGTTGCGCTTGCGCCTGCAGATTTGCTTGCTCATAGAGTCGCAGCGAATCAGTGGTCGCTCGGGCTCGGCTGCTTGGTGCTCGCTATTGGCGGCCGCCGCACGACGCTGGCACGACGGCGGCGAACACGCATCGCAGCTTTGCCTCGATGTCCGCTTATCCATGCTCCGCTCCGCTTGAATGAATGGTGAATCGCTGATCGGGATCGCTCGCGGGGAACCGGAAGCGACGCCGACGCGAGTAGCGAGGCGTGAGGCGCCGCCGCCGATGTTAATTTCCTCGCTGCGACTCCTGCGAGTCGTCTGTGGCCTTAAAAATGGGAAATTCCCGCGGGAGTTTTCCCGACCGAATACGGGATCCGCTAATTCGGTCGGGAAATCACTCTAACCGATTTCGATCCCGGATCCGCCGAATTTTTCCGGATTTCTTCTCAAATCTGTTTTTTTCGAGAAAATGATATCCGGTCGGGAATTTTGGTGTTCGGTGTCGGTCGGTACAGGAATTTCCCGTTCCCGCTTTCATCCCTATATTCCACACATCTGAAATCCGATCCACATCCACATCCAGGCGAAGGCGACCGGGCGGCTCTACTTCAACCCTAGTGGCGGCGGCGGCCGGCGGGGAGGGGGAGGGCGGAGCACCGGAGCTTGGACTCGGACTCTCGGAGGCCTACGCGGTTGCGCCGCTGCGTGGAGCGAGCGAGCGGTGGCGGTGCCACCACGGCAGCCGCGCCACCTACTAGAGGCCGGGCGTTGGGCATAGGGCACAAAGTGTAGCAGCAGCGCATGCTGCCCATGATGGCGAGGGCACCGGCACAACATGGCACAAGTGCAAGGTGCAGGTGAAAGCAGCATGCAATTGGCGCAGCAGGGGTGAGGGCAGCGAGCCAAGAAGCCAGCAGCAGGCGGCAGGCACGCCAAGCAGAGTAATTTCTCTTCCCAAATCCCAAATTCCTATTCAATTTGTTACTTGTTAGGGTCTTAGCCTCTTAGGGATAGTAATTTGTCCCCAAATTACTTAGTCTAGCCTCTTGATTTAATTTTAGGTCTCAATTATGAAGAGAAAAAAGAGTAATACCACAGATCTGAGGAGTTTCTTGCAACGGGCTGCTGCAAAGAAGAAGCATTCACAAGATGAGGTTGAGCAAGAGGTAGAGGGAGGTATTCCCTCTACTAATCAGAGTTGTATGCAACTGGTTGTTTTTGAAGGGCAGACTGATGGCAGTGGTCCAAGCATAATTTCACCAGAACATGAAGCAGTGAGAGTTGAGGCTGAGCCTACAGTAATAGAAGATGATGAAGTTATATCCCTAAATGAAACAGATTGTAGTGATGAAGAGATCCGCATGCTTCGCGTTGCTCAAGCGGAATACATGATTGAAGCATTGAAATTGGGTGAAATTGAAACCGGGCAAGGATTGAATCAAGAGATGGGCTTAGCAAGGCCAGGTGATACACGATGGGGATCTCACTACAGAACTGTAATGCATGTTATGTTCTTGTATCCTTCAATCAAGAAAGTTCTCTTTAGGATTCGAAAGGAAAGTAAAGGGGCTGAGGCTAATGGAGCTCAAACTATGCTCACAGTATTTAAGTCCTTTGAGTTTATTTTTCTGCTACACTTGATGAATGAAATATTTGGATACACAAATGACTTGTGCAATGCTTTGCAAAAGAGGGAGCAAGATATCATAAATGCAGTGGATCTTCTGGAGTTCACAAAGGTAGAACTGGATGTTTTGAGACAAGATTCTGGATGGCAAGAATTCCTTACCAAGGTCACTTCTTTTTGTGAGAAGCACAATGTTAAAGTGGTTGACATGAATGGGAAGTATATTCCTATGCAAAGATCAAAGCAGTTCTACAGAGGTGCCATTAATTATCATCGGTTTTCATGCTGATATGTTTTTGGGTGTCATTGATAGACAAGTTCAAGAGCTTAATAATAGGTTTGATGAGGTAAACACAGAGCTACTTAGATGCATGGCATCATTCAATCCATCCAATTCATTTGCTGCTTTTAATGTTGAGAACTTGGTTAAGGTTGCTGGGTTCTATCCACATGACTTTGAATTTGAAGAAATGAATTAGCTTCGTTTTCAGTTGCACCACTATATCAATGATGTCAGAAATGATGAAAACTTCAAAAATTTGAGAAGTCTAGCAGAGTTGTCTATGATGCTAGTTAAACAAGGAAAGGTTGCTTGGTATGAAATTGTTTATAAACTTCTCAAATTGGTGCTTGTTCTCCCTGTTGCAACTGCTGGTGTTGAGAGGGTCTTTTCTATAATGAATTTGATAAAGAACGAGAGAAGAAGCAAGATGGGGCAGAAATATTTGAATGGTTGCTTGGTCACATTGATTGAAAGGGAATTCTTCATGCAAGCTAAGGATAAGGACATCATCGCTCATTTTCAAAGCATTAAGGATCGGAAAGTTGTACTGTAACTTGTAAGTTGTAAGCTTTGTTACTATTTTGCTGTTTTATCTCTATTTATTTCACATGTTGCCACTTTGATATGTTGATCATTAGTAGCCGGACAATTTCAAGTTGTGATCAATTTTATTAATCAATGATGCTGCCACTTAATTCTGTGTTATAAAACTATAATTTAGGTTGTCAATTTTTTTTCTTGCCATCTGCAATTTTGAATACCCATGGTCCAAATCCTGCGCCCACCTCTGGTGACAATGGCTTAGCAGTGCCACGAACCAAGTTGGGTCTCAGAGACGATGCCTCCAAGGAGGGCATGACGCCAATGGCGCCGCCATCGCTCGTCCAGGACCTGGACAGGGTTTTCACCTAGAGAACCCCATGCAGCAGGGTCGTAGCTCCAACATGACGCTCCCAACAGGGAAGATGACATCCTAGGACGCCGCCGTCATGTCCACCAGCACGAAGGCCGGTGAGGGCTTTCGCCTGGAGCAATACAACCCCTCACTGCACGTACCTGGTTTGGAACTTCCGAGCCACTGCTACGGCAACCCAGCCGAGGCGACGCCGCCGTCGCGCCACCACTCGCCATGCCGCCGAACCTCCACCTCTGTTTTAATCGCCGCCCTCCATCGCTGCCCACGCGCAGCGCCTTCCACCGCCTGCACCTCCCTGCCGACGCCGCGCGGCCGCTTGCCGTGCTCCTCCCGACCGCCGCACTCCTCCTCACCACCCCTCGCTCTCCCGGCCGCGCTCCTCTCGGCCGTGCGCTCCTCCCAGCGGCGGCGCGCCTCCTGGCGTCTCACGACTTGCTGCCAGGCATCGCTTGCGGCAGCTTCGCGCTCCCCGTCGCCTCTGCGACGTCTGCACCAGAATGGATGGCCCGGCACATCCCGTATCACCACCATGGTGCCACGAGCGTACCTCGCACCCTCCGGCCCCACCACCATGGCGGCGCCGCAAAACTGCAGACCTGCGTCGCCGACGAGCAGCACCTCATGCCGGACCGGCCGCACTCCATCCGCCACCGCTGGCCGGTCTCCTTCACCCCCCCCCCCCCCAGCGCCACCTCGCCTCCGCGCCCGGGGCCAGCCTCCACGAACCGCTGCTGCACTGAACTTGCCGTCTGCCTCCGGCCGTCGCAACACCGCCGCCCATGACGGCCGCCATCCCGCTGTCGCCGTCGCTGTCCGCATCAGCGCCTCTAGCGAGGGTCTCCTCGAACGTGCTCCCCGGCGACGTGCACGTCGTCGTCCTTCATCGCCTCCAGTCCGCTGTGGCCGCCGCACGGACCAGCGTCCTCCTCGCCCGCCGCTGTAGCCACCTTTCTGCGCACCTCTCGGGGGCCGACCACCCACCCTCGGCCGCTCCCGCACCGCGCTCGCGGCCCACGCGGCGCCCGTGCTCCTCGACTCCTCGTTGCCCATGCTCCTCGTCGCCGATGACTCCAACCCGGGGCGACGCGGCCGCGCTGCTCCGCCTCGTCGCATCCCGCCTCACAAGAGTGGCGGGCTGGTGGTGGTGACGCTCGCGCACGACCTCACGCTCAACATCTCCGGCGGGGTGGCCACCGCAGTCACCTGCATCCTAAACATCTCCGGCGGCCACGCCAACCCGGCCATCACCTTCTGCGCTTTCCTCTCCGGCCGCACCTGCCTCGTCGGGGTCGTCGTCGCCGGATCCGACCTCCATGAACTCAAACACTCCATGAACTCAAAAACACTTCCGAGCCGCCGCCGACGCCCATGGCCGGCAGATCCACCGGAGCTGCCCGTCTCCCCGCCCGGGACAGGCTCCCGTGGTCGAGAGGAAGACCCCCGCCGCCGCCGACCTAGGGGCCGGCGCGGGCTTCCGGCGGTGGCGAGGGGAGGGAAGCGGAGGAAGGGGTGGTGGCGGCGGGGACGGGCGGTCGCCGCCCGAGTCGCCCGGGCGGGGGCGATGCGGGGGCTGGTGAGTGGTGAGTCTGTTTTATTTTTTCAAATGAGTTGATGCAGTGGGACTTTTTCTAGTTGAAATGTTGCGCGCAACATAAGATAGATGTTACGGCGGTTTTTTTTGTGTGTATCTTTGTGCCAGAATTTTTTTTGATGTTGCATGCAACATTAACATATGTTGCGGTGGGAATTTTACTGGTGTTTCACCATCCGACGCTAGCCGGATCGGAGCAGCTCCAAAAATATTTTAAACATCCTGTCGGCCCACGAGAAGGATACCACTCGACACCAACTACCAAGCCACCAATTTATAAAGGGGTCCTTCTAGCAGGCTTTGCAACAACCAGCAGCAGCTGCAGCCTACAGACCTACAGAGCACAACTAGAGAGAAAGAGAGCATGGCCAGCAAGGTGTGCCTCTTTCTTCTCGCGTTCCTCAGCGTCGTGCTCGCGCTTGACAACCCCGTCGCCGGCGGCGGGATCAAGGCCACGTTCGCCGGCAGCCCGGAGTCTCGGTCCGGAGAGGCTGCGGTGCTGCGGCAGCTGCTGTCGACGAGGCTGGAGGATGCCGTGGCGCCGGAGCTCACCGTGGACCTGCACCTCCACCGCCGTGTCCTCGCCGGCACGGTTGAAGGGTCAGCGTTGAGAGCTAACAGTCCGGCCTGCATAAGGTCGTGCCCGGCGCCTGGGGATCCGTATACCGGCTCAAGCCGGGGATGCCAGAAGAAGTACCAGTGCAGCAGCGGCTGAAGGAGCGTTCCTTGCATCCTCGAAGGCATCATGATCATTTGTATGATGTCTGCCTTGTTATTGCTGTAAGTGTCCTGTAATAATTAGCGGGAGCTCTCTGCACTGGGTACGCTATTGCTGGGATAAATTCTACGCAAAGCTGATTTTATATGTTCTATTGCTTTTAGTGTCTTGAAACCGTTTAATTTTTTTGCAAGAATAAATTCTACGTGGACACATGGTTGATATGTGCCCATGTGATCTAGTGTGATGAGTGATTATCAATGTGATTCGCGTCTTGGGTTGACAAGCGCAAGTGTACATGGAGGAGTGACCGTATTGACCGAGTCAAGATGGCGGACATGCAAGTCGAGCGGAGGCTCTGGAAAGCTTGGCACCTGGGCGGTCGATGACGGCGGTGACACGTGTCGAGGATCGGGAGACGCGTATAGAGTACGCTACTCGCGAGCGGATTTGGTGGTTTGGGCTAGAAAACCACCGGTGGACGGTTTTCGGGTTTGTGCCTCGAAACCCGGGTGGAGGTTCCGAGGAGGGACGGGGCGGCACGTGGCGGAACCACAGAGGTTGCGTCGAGGCGAAGCAGATATGTGCAGAAAGCGTGGTGTCCGATCGACATAAGACAGAGTTGGACCATAATACCTTAGGGTTAGGTGGTTCGCTCTATTTATACGGGGGCAATTTGGGACTATGTAATACCCCTGTTAAATAAGGATGGGGGTGCCCCAATCACCCTCACCTCTTGCCATTTTATTTCCACCTCTACGTTTCCCCTCTCTAGTCTCTGTCCCTCTCCCTAGAGTCAAGAGGTCCTCGGATGTTTTAGCACCGTATCCGTGTCCTCGGGGATTCGTGGTATGATCTCTTTGCGCAATTCTCGCTTGTGTTCTTTGCGTTCTTGTTTCTCCCTCTCCACCCCTTCTCACGTTTTCGTTCGATTCTTGAATTGTGGGTCGTTTTGAGTCAAACCGATTGATTTGGCATGAACTAGGACGTGAGTTGAACCTTTCCACGGAAGGGATTTGTTTCAAACCTTACGAGTTCATAGATCGGGGTGATTCAATTTTCGGAGTTGAAATAGTGGTGTTCTACGCGTGATCCAAATTTTTCGTCGATTGACAAATCTTTAAGTGATGATCTCTTAGGAGTAGCTTTCCTACTGCCTTGTGATACCTTGGTTCAATTTTGGTGGCAGTTCTTTTTGATTTGGTCACAAATCGGGCAAATTTGTGTTCTTGGCGATTTTTGGGAGCTCTGTCCCGCAGACCGTGGACAATCCGCGCCCCTCACCACGGACAGTCCGGCAGTCGGGGTCGGGAACAGTGAAGTTCGGGTGCCTGTATTGTGTTGCTTCAGCACAGGCGCGGACAGTCCGTCGCTGTAGTGAACAGTGCATACCAGAACTGTTTTTCACCGTGTGTTTTCTGAGAAATTGTCTGCGGACAGTCCGCAACTATGGTGAAATTCCTAGGCAGAACTGTTTCTCATCTTCAGTTTTCCTGAGTTTTGCCGGCGGACAGTCCGGAGCAAACCCCGAACAGCCCGGACCTCCTGCCGCGGACAGTCCACGCCCAGTCTGCAGACTGTCCAGGCCTGTGCAGTCTTCTCGACTTTGAGGTGATTCGTCGAGGGCTCGGCTCGGTTGTTTCTTGAGGGTCCCGCTATGTCTATTGGTCATCGCCATAGACATCCAGCCACCTAGTTGGCTCGTGGATCTCTCTTCCCTCGTATGCTTGCTTTTGGGGTTTGATTTTGGGACAGCGGCCCAAGTTTTCGAAAGAAATTTGAGGCTCTCATTCACCCCTCTCTGGTCGCCTTTTCAGTCCTTCATTCTAATCATTTCTATCGGCAATTATTTTTATGTTTTCGTCCAGCTTGTGTGCATAGTACATGTACATGCAAGAACAAGTATTGGTGAATAGATGCAGGAACCTTAATTCTGATGTATAATTGTAAGCATATCTTAGCGCGTTACAAAATCAGGGTGTGACTACCAGTGTCTAGCCAAGCGCAAAGCCTGCATATGTGTGGATATGCTCTTGTGGTACAGTGTGTGTTTTGGTAGATGATTGCTGTGTCGGTCCGGCGTATGGGCACAAACTTTTGAAGTCCAATATGATATGTGCGAGCAGAGCAGGTAGCAAGTCGTGATCAGTAAAGCAACCAATCCATTAAATCCTCCTTTAATTTTGTTATGGTGGGGAATCAAACCACAACTAAGTGGTTAGTGGGTACTATTATTATTCAATCAGGACAACATGACCAAGGACAGGACACGGATATGGGCATGATTGCAAGGAGACAATATCACGAAACGATACAGGGAAGCAAAGTGCATGACATAGTTTTCAATTAGAAATTAGTTCAGATTATGAGCATGATGACACATCTTTCGTAGCTCATCAGCTTGATCTCATGCTGATCTCATGGACTTGGTCCATGATGCACAAAAAAAAAACACCAAGGCCGTATAGATTCGCGCAGATTCAGAGTGGGTTACGGCACAGGCCCACAAGTATTAGAGCCTCCAAAACTAATTAACAAATCTCCACGACTTGAAGGTCCACTCTCGTAGCGGTCTGTTAACAAATCTCAACAGCTCGAGCACACCGTAACATATTTAATTTCTATTGTATAGATAATAGTTAAAACGGATGACTACACCGAAAAATGTGATTCAGGTGATGGCGTCTACTCTGAGTATGGTTGGCGATGGGAATTCTCAAGTTGTAGGACCAAGCAATTGCTTGATGTTTCTGTCCCTGTCTTCAAGATGACACAAAGTACGTCGCATTATTCTCTTATAATAAGTTATCCCACTCCCCAGTTGTGTCCACAAGATTGTAATCCTATAGCATGATTAATATTGAAGGTCGAGAGATAGATGGGGTTGCCACTCAAATTTGATACTACCTCAATATCAAAATATTTGTCGTTGTTAACTGTTAATCACGACGTTTGATCATTCGTCTTATTCAAAAAATTATGTAACTATCATTTATTTTGTTTGTAATTTACTTTATTATCAAAGGTATTGTGAGCATAACTTATCTTTTCTTATATTTGCAATAATTTTTTGAATAAGACGAATGGTCAAAAGTTGTGAGAAAAGTCAACAGCAACAAATATTTCGATATATATATATATATATATATATATATATATATATATATATATATATATATATATATATATATACTTTGAGAGCCATCCAATATATATATATGCTAACATGGTTTTCTGATGAAGAGCAAACATGACCATATTGGCCAATGTCTCTAACTCGTAGCACTGATGAGATGACCAACGTAATCACACTAATCAGTTATCAAACTTGTTCGCCTGCAGTTGTGATGCAGGATTTATAAAGTTGATATTTCAAACAATAATTAAAAAAATATGGGCTTAAATAAACTAAATTGTTTAGAACATATAGATCTATCATTTTAGCACCTGCGCTATGTTTTTCGCTTCTCCGCTTCTAATGTGGCATTAAGCTCCTGTGTAGCGTGGTTGTCGGCCTGACTCCACCATAATACCACACGGTTGCGGCCCTCATCAGAGAAGTAATGTGTTGTACTGTGTGCTGCAGTGGCTTCAACGGGCCACTTGTTCAGTAACTAAGTTCTGCTAGTTTTAGGCTGGCAACAGGCACAACCAAACACCTGCAGCTCCTCCCAGCAGGAAATTCTTCAATGCAACGCAAACCACAATCTTCTGACGCTGTTTGATGATGTGCATGAGATTCACCAAGCTATCGCAGGCGCATGCCCTATATCCGCTACCATTTGTGGATACATTACAAGTTGCGTTATTCATCCAATGTTCTTTCTTTAAAACATTATTCAGCAATGTTGGGCGCAACACTCCTGCGCAATACTGTGCCTTTGGACCTCTATTCCTAAGTGTCCGGTGAATAAATTGTTCCCTAACACTTATAAGTTGTGCTACTCCACTCTTAACAAGCAATGTGGAACTATTCCCAACAAAAAAGCAAAGCATTAGAAAGTCATCGATTCATTGAAGAATCTAACTAGTATATATTTATGTACTTTGTTAGATGTTCAATTGAAATAGTATTACGTTGGTACCCCATCCTTTCATGGTTGCTGTCTGTTAGGTGCACTGTTTATGACTGAGTCGCTTACATAGCTATTGCATAAATAGCAGAGGGTCAAGTACTCTTCATAAACAAGTAGCTAGGTTCAAAATCAAGAGCATAACTATTGTTATATTCCAAGAGACCCGTAGTGAGAATGAGGGAGATATTGAAACAAACTCATCTACTTGTACAAGCATAGTTTGTGGTGTTTCGTAGGAATAGAAGGCGTAAGGAATGTGTGTTGTACTTGCACCATTGATGTCACTTACCCGTAGTGTAAAGAAACAATGGTTTACCACACGTCCCAGTGCCTTGTTATTTGGAATATAGTGACTTTTATATGTTCACCTTTCTATTGTAGTTTGGGATAAGCTGCTGGATATGGATCAACAACACTTTTATGTGACACAAGGCCGCTAGGGTTTACCTGTTTCTTGTTAGGGATGAAAAGCGGATCGGACTGACGGATATCATATTATATTTGTTTTCATATTTATGTTGATTCATTGGACACGGATACATATACGAATACGGATTGACTCGATTACGGATCACGAATAATGAGTATCGAATACGGTATGAAGATTCGGAGAAGGTCGGATACAAATATCTATTCGGGATATTTAAAAGTAAATATATATATATATATATATATATATATATATATCATATCATCGTCATAAACCATTACACCACTCTATGAGTCCATAATCCATCTAGATTAAGCGAAAGACTAAAGAGTAAAGCAACAAATAAGATAAAGATACAGATACAGATACATCATACATCAAACATCATATAAGCACCAATCTTCATGGCATGAGTAGAAATAGCCAAGCACATTGCTTCATGGGTCTCATGGAGTCATGGTCATGGATTCAAGATCTACAATCCTTATATA